GGGAAGGGAGAGGGCGGGAAATGGTTATTCGTCTCTCATGATCCCGTGAGCGACGTGGAAAATAGAAGTAATCGAGAAATTGCCGAAATTCTTTTCAGAGGTGGAAGGGATAAAACAGTTATAGACATTGTTAGCGGTGGGGGAGGGCCATGCGAGCCTGTAGAGCTGGAAATAGGTGATGTAGTAGATTTCGATATCTCATCTACCACCCGTTTTGTGCATCTGAAATTTGAGCCAATGGTATGTGGAGGGAGTTTCGCATTGTCAAAGCAATACACTAATCAAGCTTTCAAAAGATTCTTCACATTCAGACTGCCGACCTTAAAATAGCCAATGAAATTCTCACGGTGGCCCTGTCAGTGGGCTTTCGTGAGTCAGGAATAATGAATCCTGGTCTTAAGGCATCCTCATTCCCAATAGTTGCGATACGCTGCAATGGTCTGATTATGGATTCGATCATCGGCATAATTGAAAGTTCCAATGGACAGATAAGAAAGCTAGTTGACGACATATACTTGAAAACATTGCTTAAGGTTTGTAACCTCAGGTTCAAGGAGAACCAGCGAAGAATTGATGCATTCACGACGAAAATTGGGGAAACATTATTTAGTAGTGGCGCCAGAAAGCGCGAAGGTTACGAAGATAAAGAGATAAGGAAAGCAAGGAAGCGAGAAGAGGGGCTAAGAAAACAGAGGGAGTTAAGATACGGGGAGCAAGGATATAATGGTGAGGGCAATGTAAAAGAAACAGTAGGGATGGCTGGCAACTTTGATTGAGCATATACTTTGTCTTAAAAATACTGCGGGCCTCCAGTATAGGAATTTCTACACTGCTGGACAAGCTTGTTAAAGGAGGTTCTAATTACCAGATCTTTTCACGAGTGCATATTGATGAAGGACCACTTCATCAAAACTAGGACTAGCTGAGTTGTGTGTCAACGTATTGCAAAAATGATGGAGCTCTTATCCTGAATTTTTAGGGGCGCAGAGAACAGGCATCCTTCTTACTGTTTATTAACCGTTCCATGGGGATTTTAAAAAAACACAGTATTGGCTGGACCTAGCTTACTATAGAGAAAATTAGTTGGAGGTACATAACTCAGGCAACCCTTGCCTAACAATACTGGTAACACGTTATCACTTCTCTCTTGTCTCATCCACGTCATCTGTACGGACATAGAGAGAAAGTCTTGTTGACAAAAACTGTACAAGTATTCGGATCCAATGGTCGAGTCCATTAGACTCACCTCTCTGGGTATTGATAACACCACCGTTTTTGCATATCTCGGAAGCTTTTGACAACTTGTGGTACCCGCAAATTTCAATCAAAGATGAGCTGAACAAAGACATGCGGGTAGTGGATGTAAGAGGGCGGGTAGGAAGCAATCCACTATAAGCCTATAAGTATTACCTACCGTCGCTTAAACCATATCGATGGGCCCCATCGAGCCAAAGACAGGCGCACAGATATGGGACGTTAACTTCGATCCTGAGGCTGGCGTACTACACTCTGTAAGCATAATTATGTGATCATGCATCGAAGCATTCGATTGTATTCCCAATATATATTACTCCTGATAGCCGGCCATTGGCTATCGGCTAGCAAAGCGCAAAGATCAAAAGAGTATTGATTGCTATTTAGGTCACGCGCAGTTCGATTCATGCAGTAAGCTTATTGGCTTCCAGTAGAGGATTGGTTTTCTGCCTCGAATATAGCCAATATACATTTACATAGCATTGACAACATGTAGAGATGTACGTATCCATTCTAGTGATTCCATATGTCTTCTTTTTCACCTTGAGTAACTTCCACTTTGTAGGGTCCTTTCGCAGCCTTCGGCTGCAGTCTTATATGTAGTCGAACCCCTTCGAACTGGCGGGTATTTACACCCATGATTATAGCTCTCTCGAGTATTGTCCAGGGATATCGGACCGAGCGAGTCTGTGAGTTCCTATTAGGGACTCGTGTCCATGCCTCGAGCGTTTCTTTGGCAGTTAGTACATGTAGTGCTAGTGCAAAGACGATCCAGAGTGCAGCAGTGGCGTACGGGGTACTTTGTAGGGGTAAGCAACTCTATTCCTAGCTAGAAAGGTGCCAAGAGTGCCGTCTTTTCTGGAGACAGGCTTTTCTCCACCCCTGAAGTTTTAGTAGAGAACCATGTATGTACTTGTGACAATAGGACACATGTACATAGAGTACATAGAGTACATACCTCATGTAGCTACCTACATGTAATTGCTTCGACCCGAGCCTTTAAACATCGATCTGTTGCACCCTTGCATTGATTAATCGTGGGGGCTTGAACAGGTAAAATGATTTCAGGCGCTCGGGAAAGCCTTCAAATCTTATTGGCACCTATGCGACATGAGGATTTTATTCATAATCGATACTGTACACCCGTACATGATGTAGATAAACCTCACACACACCCCCTTGTCGGCTTATAGTTCCCCCTCAAATCGCAATAATATGGGGCCGAGGTGCCGGCGGCTACGGGACGGCCCGTCCTCGAGTAAAATGCCCCCACCAATGCAGTGGATAGCCCCTGCGGATCACATTGCCGGGATCCAGGGTCCTGGCCCCCTTTTATGGATGCATGAGACAAAATACCATCCATGTTACATGACCTTAATCTTCACTGGGTCTCCTACCTATGTATGTAAGGCTCCCTTACAGCCTTATAAATAATGTATGTAGGTATGTCGTTCAATTGCGATGTGTAGCGGGCACCCCGCAACATTACCAAGATACATGTTCGCAAATTAACCAGATTTATGCGCTGTTGCCGCAGAGGTCATTCATGATCATCGCTTGGCAGCCCGATCAATACCCGGGTTTTAACAGATGATCATCAATTCTGAATCATGACGCTCGGAGAGACTTTTATCAATTTCTTCTTTTTCTCTTTTACGATGAGGGCTATAATGACACGCTTCGGGAGAAAATCGCTCCGCCCCCAATAATCACATTAAATCACTCGCCCTTCCAATTGCAGCTAACGAGCTCGAGACGAATTAAAATTAATGTATACTGATCTTACCTCAAACTCACATAACCTTAGCTGAATAGAAATATTCCAAGCTGTAACTTTGATCGTATCCAAGACCCTATCCTAAATGAATCGAAATTATACTCTCGAATCGCCGAGTGATGGCCAATGATTGATAATCGAAAATTGAAGCGAGCGAGAACCACAAGTTAATTGAGTTGAGCAAATTATTGATATTATTGATTATATCGCATCATAGTACTAGTCTCGTATATGTAAACTCTTTATTACGTTATCTCCCACATATTCTTATATTACATGTAATTAAATGCAAGTACACGAAAAGACTAATATATTTACCTACACATGACGGATAGTATTATGTACTTAGTAATATCACGGGGATCTGGGAACAGCTAATGCTACAGTCCCTTATATATGTTTTGGATTAACTATGTTTTTTTTTTTGCCATCTTTGTAGATCTTACTTAGTAATGGTTGTCGTGGGATTTGTTTCCGATCATTGACACCCGGTTCATGGTCAGTCACTCGATGGAAATTGTAAGGTTATATTAGGTTTACTAATACAGGTATATGTATCCACATGCGTGTTAGTATTCTAGTAACTGTGACAAGGATCATTTAAATTTGGTTAGCTAGGTAAATTCGTAAATTAACTGTTAACCTGTTAGTGTGTTCTCTTGTGGAAAAAAAACATAGCTTTTACGGAGGGGTATATATAGATTCTGGTGGAACCAATGAGAAAGTCAGCGCTAAAAAAAGTAGGCTTGTTCTTATTTGCTCATGCCCAATTAAAAAAAACTCCTTTAAAGGCCAATGGGACGGACTATATATCGGATCTCAGAAAACTCGCTTTCACATTAAGGACCCGTTCGGACAACCTTAAATTATTTCTTCGGATTATTGGATAGACTGGATTATCAGGTAGCGAAAATGATAATCATAATACTCATAATCAGTGAATAATCTACATGTCCGGATAACTTTGAAATAGCATTAAGCTCCTGGGATATCTGTCATGTTGTGTGGGAATAAATACCCCCGAAGGTGATTGTTTTCTTGGCGGATTATTGGGATAATCGGGAGTTCCGAATTTTGGATTATTCAATTCCACGAACAGCATAGATTATAATTATTGTGATAATCTAAAAGTCGATAATCCGTCAGATTATCGACGATTATTTGGTTGTCCGAACGGGCCCTAATTCTACCAGAATCTAGATCTTTACATAGTACTTGGGACCCCGATAGCTGTCTCTAATGACCTGTAAATAAATCAGCAAAGTCGTCGGTAAAGGCTTCAGCGGTAAAGGCGTATTGGGAAAGTCGTTTCTCGGTTGCATAGTAATTTTGGATAGGTACATGTAAATACATCAGTAAAGTCGTAGTTAGGGAAATTGGCCAATTGGACGAACTTACCAGCGATTTTATCAACGAATTTATAGTTTACCAACTATTATACTAACGACTTTACCCACAGTATTAATATTGCTGGCAATTCTACCCCTATTCACAGGGGAATAAGATTACCTGTGATCGCAAAGCTCGGGGGTTCGATTTGCCTCAATTGATAGCACGATCCAATATCATGACCAAGGAATTCACACAACGGCAGGAGTTACACAATGTCAGAACTACCTCTAGCTCTAGATTCAATTTGAAAAATAGGTTCTCTAAATTTAAATTTTATCCCCCAAATGTTACATACCCATGAACATCGAAGGACATCTGGCGATACTGTATATGTGTGTTCTGTTTCAGGGATCAATTATCGCGGAAATGGAAATATATTCCGGAGGTGGTAAAAGGCATTACAGAAGGTAAAATCGTAGGTAAAAGGATCCACAGATACATTTATGCCAGACATGGCTGTAAATGTACTTTACCGTTGTATTTGTATGGAAAAGGCATTGTTGATTCATTTACCGGACTATTGGAGTGTAGGTAGACATAGCGGTATAGTGTTAAATAAAAGAAAAACGATATCTATCGATCACGGGAGGACTCGAACCCCCAATCTCTGGTGAATAGCTACGCCGAAAACCAGCGCCTTAACCATTAGGCCACGTGACCATCTTAATCTGACTCTGTGGGTTGATATAATATGGATATCGGGGTACCCTAGGTACGGTAGTAATACGGTAAGCTAACCAACTACATGTAAGTATCTACTACTCGGCCGCCCGAAGCTATGTAAACTACATGTAGTAGTGTTAGGAATAGTTTATTCCCATAAAGACGTATTAAACGAAGTACAGTATTAAGACAGAATGGATGCTGTATGGCGGAAAATAATAAATTTTGAGGGATACTGTATCAATAGTACCATCCCATGGCCCAACACTACTATAGCGTCGAAATTGGTAAAAAAAAATAAGTCTCCAGTAACGATCCATGCCCAAATAAGCGTTAAGGCCTTATTGACGAAAAAGAGTGGCATTAGCCTTAATTTGGGATAAAGCTCTTTTTGGCGTAAGGGTTTTTCAAAAATGAGGCATATATATGGCTTATTTACGAATAACCATTGAACCTAGATAATTATCATCACATAGGTTAAACATTTATACTGGATCTACCTTATTCATCACATAAGACTTTTCGGTGGGTAAGGATTGTATAAGGCTTAAAAATTCGCATTATACTGCCATATATAACTTCCAGCACGGGAATTTCAGTTCTCCCATGGCTCAGTGGGTAGCATGAGGTTCATGGTACCTACAAGGCTCTGGGTTCAACCCCTCCGGCCTTTTCTTTTGTCACCAAGTACATGTCCTTGCAACAGCTCTCACAGTCAACAGACTTTCCCCGACACCCATAGTAGATTATCCACTGATTGATTATCCACTGATTATGAGTATTATGATTATCATTTTCGCTACCGGCCAATCCAGTCTGTCCAAAAATCCGAAGGAATAATCTGAAGTTATCCGAACGGGCCATTATTTGTCCGAGTTTATTACTGGAGACTTAAGTAATAAATAAGCGTTATGCTACCGCAAACCCTTATTTGACCCTTATTTAAGCCTTATACAACGCTTATTATTAGACCCATTTTTACGCCATAGTATACAAATAATTCTACTATTATATGCCCGCACATACATAGCGGCCATCAAGGCCGCCTCTACCCCTGGTTAATAGTAACGGCTGTAACGATGTAGGTCACGTAATTGCTCCACAGGTCACTGCTGTCACTGTGTGTCCAGTAGGAGGAAGTAGTTCTCCAAATTGCCAAACACCCTTGGGTGACGTACATACATGTATTGTCAGCATCTAGAGGCCCGGGATCCGGTACTATGAATTGTCTCTCGACAATGAATTATAAGTTTATCCACACACCCACCGGCACCACCACCACCCACCGAGGGGAAATGAAAAACTCGCGGGAATATGCATTTTATGGTTTGTTTTAAATTGTATATCGAGAACATGCTGTTCCCCTGGTCTTAAAATCATATTTCTATATAAGCTCTAGCGGTAGAGTTTGTTTTGTTTTGTTTTGTTTAACTCATTAATTACATGCAGACCGTAGTCTGTGGTAATATCGCACTACCCCTGAACTGCCCGTTCTCAATCTAGCGGTAGAGATGTGGTGTTTAGGCGAAACTTTATTTCAATCCCACATCAATACGTACGAGGCCTGTGTACGTGTTTAGTTAACAGATGCCTCTCTCTAAATCCTATCCCTACGTTACTTCTAGCGGAATTCTGCCACCATGGGGGTAGAATTCTGATAGATTTTTCTGTATCCATCCTATTGATGTAATCTATAAATGACAAAGGTAGCATTTATTATTACATGTAGGTGTATAACTACATGTGGCGGGAATGCCTACTTAAGTAGCTAGCATAACCATCCAACTAGAAACCTTAGTACTTACTAGTACAGCCACTCTGCAAAAGTGTTCGCGATTCAGATTTCGGAGTGAGACACTTCACTATTTAATCGTGGCGGACAATCAAATCTCCCCCCCCCCCCTCAGGAGTTTCCAAGTGACCAATGGTACATACCCGGAACGAAGAATGTGATCAATGGCCTTAGTACCTTCTTTTATCTATAGTCACGAACTACATTATATATTTTTGTTGTTTTGAATCTTAACTGGCCGCTGGATCCATTGTTTGGCATATACATGTAGGGTATTCTGACTTGATGCTTCAGATATGATAGTAGGATGCTCTTTGATGATTCGTTTCATTAGCGATGGCCTTCGTCAATCATGTGAAGCATCACCGGTGGCCAAAACTTATCCCCGCTTCTGTACACGGTCAAAATGAGTGACAGAAGCGTGACAGGTAAAGGTGTCGGTAAAGCCGTCGGTAATGTCATTTGTAAATCATTAAAAAGGCGTCGGTAAAGTTTTCCAATTTCCTTTAAACGACTTTCTTTCCACCAAAATATTGACATTTCCCAGCGAAAATTAAAACCCCAGAAACGGCTTTCCCGACGACTTTGGTGAGTATTCTAGGTACACATTTCCACGACTCCTAGAGACTGCGCACTGACATCAAAACCAAATCACGAACGCTTTTCCAGAGTGGCTGTATACTACGTACCATCAAATATTTAATAAGTATATACTTAATTATAACCTGCGCATATGCATGTGCACCTAAAGCTTTTTGATTGGCTCATTGGGAGAGTGGTTTAATTTTTTTCACCCGAAACATGTGTTGGATTTGAATATAGGGGATTGCGCTGAGTAGTGTTAGATTGTTAATATGTTTTCAACTGGTTCTGGGAATCGATTAGTAGTTCGATTTTAGCGGCTTGGTGGTTGTTAGAGGGATACTTTTGGCGCCTTGAACCGGAGAAATTTCTGACCTATTCACTGATATATGGGGGATACCATAAAAAAAGGCACATAGAGCTCAGTCGATCGAGTGACATCAGATATATTAATGTATGCATGGCTACATAATGATCTTTGGTCCCATACAAGCCTGTGCATGTGATATACATCATGTATATATATATGTAGAGATTTTATAGGCTATAAATACATATTATATACATCATGTATATATATATGTAGAGATTTTATAGGCCATAAATACATATAGGGTGCACGTGTGATAATCCATGATGTTATTAAATGGTTGTTTAATTACGAGTACTAGCGTCGTATATATGGCTACACCACACTGCCAAGATTGCGTGAAGGGTGTCTTCTCACTTACCCCTACCCCCGAAGTACATGTAGAGAATGAACACGAGACTAGCATATGCATCTTTTAGCTTAGGGCCCGTTCGGAGAACTTCCGATTATTTCTTCGGATTATTGGACAGACTCGATTGGCAGGTAGCGAAAATGATAATCATAATACTCATAATCAGCGGATAATCTACATGTCAGGATATCTGTGTTGTGTGTGAATAATCACCTCCCAAGGTGATTGTTTTCTTGAGGGATTATTGGGATAATTGGGAGTTCTGAATGTTGGGTTATTCAATTGCACGAACAACATAGATTATTATGATAATCCAAATTTAAAAGTAGATAATCCGTCAGATTATCGCCAATAATCTAGATTATTGGGTTATCCGAACGGGCCCTTAGTCTAGAATATAGAGTGGTGCGGGGGCGCTATCAGGGGCTGTATATAGTACGCTATAGCTACATGTACTTGGGCGTTGAACCAATTGCATATTGGCCAATTCCCCTCTATATATATATAGTCTAGAGTAAATTAACACCACGTTGAGTTGTTAGGCTCGGAAATTTATGGCCCTGGTCAACTCAATCGCGCATTCTGCACCCCTGCACCTCTTTCAAATTAAATTGCGAATGATATATGTTCCATTACAAAACATGACTCACAAATTAACACCCAATGATGCATAGGTACATACAAATACAAAGTTATTGTATTGTTGGTTGACAAATTTCTCCTTATTTTTCGTTTAGCAATCTAGTGAAGCTGCCAATCTCCCAATACACAAAACAGATAATCAACCAAAATTTTCTTTCATCGTATATATAACTATTTCCTCTATATCTTTTGTGGTTCTCCGGCTAGTATAGCCTCTTAAGCTTCATGCCCTATCGCTGTGAGAAACCATGAGAGCTTTTGCCAACTCACAATATTACCGTCTTCCACATGTCCCTTATGGTTGGAGCATTTCCTTACGAGTGGGGTACTATTTTCAATTTAATACGATATAACAATCCCCTGGTGGATAGGGCGCCCGATTCGTATATATGTTCTGCTGGATAGGACGACTTATGGATCGGACAGAACAGGCCCCTGTTTCTGCAATAGTTCTATCTCTCACTGTAGGCCTTAAAATGACTTAAATACATAAATAGAGCTTTTAACCGTAAAGTAAACCAATTATGGAGCAAAATCCAATAATTGAATTGTTAAGGGTCCGTAGATAGATGAGCCATGAACGCCGGGTTTGGTTGCCAAACCAACCAGTGGTGTCTGACCAGTCCCCTTTCGTAAATAATAGTATGTAGTAGGTAGACGGTCTTCCAGGCCACTCGGACAGTTAAGATCAACGCTGTTTAAGGTGGCTTAATTTTATACTCGCTATCCACTATAAGAACCTGAAAATGCAGGTGCCAATGACAAGGATAATTTGTATGGGCCAAGACAATTCTCCATACAAATTATCCCCGTCTCCGTCACTCGCATTTTCAGGTTCTTATGATGGATAGCAGGTACACTACTCGCGCGGCCGAGTTTCGACTCACGTGACGCTACCTAACAGGTTTTTTTGCGCTGCTCTTAGGTCATGTGATTAAGTTGGAACTCGGCCGCGCGAGTACATCTTCTCTACCAATTATCATTGGCTGTCTGAGTAAGGGAGGCTGCCTACTCGGGTACATACATGCAACGAGATTATTTGTATGGGCAGAGCGTACATAGTCCCCTACTTTTAGCGCAAATACTGTTCTTATTGCTACGCATTAATATGTAACTATGTACATATAGAGCACTCTTTTGATACATTCAAGCAATTGGATATTTGATAGTGCGAATTCGTAGCAAAAGTATATGTACCCAGGGTGTCGGAAAATGATGCACATTCGGTGATATGATGTCTCAACAATGAGAACGAATGT